CCCGGTTCACATTTCACACTTTCCACTGCTAATTTGTAATAAACTTTCTGCTTGCTGATTTCGAAACTCTGTCCAAACTTGCACTGGCAGCAGGCTAATTTTAAGCGTGAGATCTCAATTCCCTCTGCTAACTTCAAATAAAAAATTTGCTAAAAAATTTGAAATGTGAATGTATGTAGCTTGGTACAAAGTCACTCGAAGGGACTCTGAGCTGTCTCCTAGGCCTGTCGCGGTCACGAATAGTCCCGACAGGTCACGATTCAACTAAACTGTAGACTAGGGTTTAGGGGCGGCTGCGCCGCCCTGGTACACTTAAGGTACCATGTGTTCAATCACGTTTTCAAGCTCTAGAGGGCAAATTATCACGACAAATTCATAATATTTGCATCAGTGATCTATCCCTGCATTCCATCTCGTCAAATTCCATAGAACAACTGCATAATTAACAGTTCAGACTTAAACAAAACGCCTCCACTTGAATAAAAAAAATATTATTTTGTAGGTGATGCTTTCAAGCAATCATTAGCAAAGAAAGTAAGAGCGGAGTATCAGAACAACACTTACAGAATAAGATTGTTGGAAACAAGAGAACAATCAGAGTATCATTTTTCTTTTTCCGAATGCCCTCTGTGTGAGAATCGCTCCCTTGAGAATGAAACGGATCAAATCGGTCAGCTAGGCGGAAAGAAAGATTGACATGATTGAAAAATGATTGAGTCGAGGTGGCACACTTCAGACTTACCATGAATATAGCAAGGATCGAAGAGTTCATCCCGTTGAATAGTTGAAGGGGAGAGAAGAGGTCTGTCAAAGTGCACTATGAGTAGACAGATAGAGAGAAAAAAAAGGTCAATGGATGAAATTGGAAGGGGATGGAAGGAGGAGTTGATCGCCCAAAGCTATCGACAGCACTACATACCTTGCAGGCAATTAAAATACAAGAGAAGGAGGAAACAAGTTCCAATCCACCCTAAGTGGGTGAGGTGGTCGGAGCAGGAGTAGAGGATCCAGCTTATTAGTAGATTGATTTGAGCACTGTCTTCACGGCCACAAGCCGGCGTAGCCGGCTCTGAACTTTTGAAAAACGGTCACAACGATCGCAACTGACTTTTTATTTGACCAACTCCAGACATCTATCTAACCATAGCAACACCCAGTTCAATACAATTTAGAGCGCAATGGAAATGATAATTTGTAGGTAAGAACGCGTGCGCGCCCCATTTATCCCCAATGATGATGGATCTTTAACCATCCAAATTCAATCGTCAAGTCGACCAGGACTCCTCCCCCGATTCGAACCAATAATGGCACCTGCCTATTCCATTTCTTGCAATGCAAATCAGCTACCTGCTCTTCCCAATGGCGAAAGCTTATGGATTTGCTTCGTCGGGTCTTTCATGTCATCATCTTAATCGTTCACCGAACTCCCTCACCGCGCTTCTATCATTACCCTGTCATCGGACCCATGATATTCGGGATTGCCAAAATTTTTCATGTCCACGGTCCACTTTCCACTGTCATGGAACAACCTGGAGGCGTATGTGTGACGTTGTCCGCTGTCTAGATTCATTACTCCTAGCTAACCATCAACCCTTTTTTGAATCACACAGACTCGGCTTGTTCATCTCGGTCTAAATGACACGAGTCTCACAGCTCTCCGGGGAAGCCATGGTGAGGGAGAAGGATGTTGAGATGGCATAAGAATAGGAGGCAAAAGAAGTGGTATTTATCGGTGAGGAATGGGGGTTGTTAGTGGATGGGTGGAAAGAAATGCTTATGGGTGAAAAAGGTAAATGTAATGGGAAGTCTAAAAGGTGAATAAGAATGTACGGATCCGGAAGGTGATCTGGAACATGGCATTATTGAGTAGAGAATCGGTGGAAGAAGAATGATCTGTTTCGAAGCACTTGGTGTGCAGGCTGCGTTTGGGTACGCATTTCATTCTGATATTGGCAAGTGTGTTGAGTATAAGATTAGGGCAGGGGTTCGTATCGCCGCTATTTCTTGGGTTGGAAAGAAGACTGAGGATAGTTTCTTTGGAGTGGATAAAAGGGGAAATCTTCGGAGTAGGTGCATGGAGGCCGAGGAGGTAAAAAAGGAAAGATTGAAGTGATAAGTTTGATTGATGTTTTCGAAGAAGGACTTATCAACCGATATTGGAGAAGTGAAGAGAAACTGGATCTTGAAAGATGATGGAAAAGGTATGTTTGGAGAGTTCTATTGTGCGGTGAAATAGGAAAGGTGTGGGGATGGGTGGGTGTACCAGGGACCCCGGAAACCCCCTACAAATGTGGGTGACGAAAAATCCAATATTTTGCGAAATTTCATACATTTTTGGAACCCATTCATACACGTTTCGTGCGTATGCTCAGGGGATTTCCAATATTTTCATACATTCTTTGTGCCTACCATTTTTTTTCTCGCCTGAGAGGCTCAAAGCCCATTTTTGCCGCAAGCCTTTCTTGCTAACTATAGGGCCGCCAATCTGTGTTGGTGCACACGCCAACACAAAGAAAAACAACAAAAAAAGCATTGAATTGTTGTAGGTGAGATAAGTACATGAAACTAGAAGTTTTATTGGTGAGGGGGGAGGCTGGAGGAGGGGGAGAGGCAAAAATTCAGGCCAATTCATGCTGCCAAGGAGGGGGGGGGGGGTGCAAAAAATTACCACTTGTGCACACCCAGGACTTTCATACATTTTTCGTTACCACCCCCCCTCCCCCCAAAAAAATTTCATACATCTGAGGTGAGTATGCTTACTACCAAAAAAGGTCATTCATACAGATTTTGTGAGTAACATTTTGGTTATTTCCAATAAAATTCATACATTTTCGTCACCCACATTTATAGGGGGTTTCCGGGGTCCTGGTGTACCGGGGCCATCAGGGCCATGGCAAGTTGTGCCATGCGTACAAAGAGCGTGAACAAGTATAAAAGGAGACCTCTTGTGAAAGTGTAAACCCCATCGTATGATTCTTGTTTGGCGGCATCGCTTAGATCATACGATCCGGGGACAATACCCGTAGGAGGAGGGAGGTTATTTTTTTTTTTAGGACGCAGGCGGTTTGCTTAAGCTTAAACTGTTAATAAAGTTCGCCTGTCGAACGACTAGAACAAGGCCTCAAAACAATCACACCATGATGTCTGCGTATGTACTACGTTTCGTAAGTGCACCAACGAGTTGGCAGATGAGAAATCCGGAAACTTGAACTGTGCACAAACATTTCACACTCACTGCTTGCAGCCCGGGCTGTGCACCGTGGGTTTGTCCGGAGCGGGTCAATTGAGGCGGATCGGGTTGGCAAGGCTGCACCCCGTGTAAATCAGAGGATTGCATTCGGAAAAATCATTCTCATGGTGATGGTACACAGCTTATCAATCTCCAGTTCTCGGAATTGTAATTGAAAAAATCATGTTCTCCCAAATTGCAATTCCAAAACTGTGCCATTTCACCCTGCAAATATGAACAGAAATCTCTGATCTGCAGACTGCTTCACACAACAAACATCTAAATACACTTATCTAATTTATCTCAACAGATAGTCTCAGCGCAACTGAAGGCCCAGATCCTGAATGAATTGATAGAAATTCCCAGCTCCTGAGCAAACAGGAACAAGGCACCCACCCTGGTTCTAGTTCCACTTGACTTGAAACCCGGTTCCTCTACAAAGATTTTGGCACCAAGAAAGATTCCAATGCGGCTCAGGGTCAAAATGGCCAACAACTCAAAACAAGATTGTAGTTTCAATCTTGAGTTAAGAAGATAGTCAGAATTCTGAATCATCTTCTCTTCATTCTTAGGTCATCAATGGGCCTTACAAGTGATCCATCTCAATTAGGCAATATGGTTACTTCACCCCCTTCAAGTGTTAGGTAGCTTTTTCACCTGTTGTTTTTGTCTTAGGCATTTAGCATTATATTTTTCTTTATGTTGAAACTTCATCTTTTTCCTCTTACTCACCCCAAATTCCCAGACCTTGACTATCATTTCTACTCTTTGTTTCTTCACTCATCATAGTCTGTACAATGTTTAGTTATGTATGTCTGATCACATGTCTTGTAGTCATTGAACCCTGACATCCCTGACTTATCAACTCTCTAGCTTGTCTTCTCTTTTTGTGTGAATTATACTCATGAGCCCTTGGTTATTTTTTGAATATTCATTTTAATCTTGCCCACAGTTTGACCACATGTACATAGACTACTTATATGATGCTAGCTACATGTGAATCAAACCATCGGTTCTTTTCCTTCATTTTTCGCCAACCTGAGCCGGTCCAGTGAAAAATAAAACAACCTCACTGTTTTTTCTTCTTCCCACAAAAAAGCCCAAAAAGTTCACTCCACTTCGGTCTTAAGTTCAACACTTTATTTTCTGAGTTTTTTTTTTCCAGTAATTTGCAGTTTCAAACTTGTTGCTTAAGCAAAATTTATTATGCATACCCAGAAATGGATATGTACGCGACGACCTGCGGCTACAAGACGCGTCACCTCTCAACGTGTTTTTCATTTCCCTACAGTTAGACCTCTCTAGACTTCGTATTTGATCATGTTGTGGATTTCATCAAAATCAAATATTCTCTATTTCTACAATCAAAAGTCATCATTTCTTTTCTACAAAACCCGTCTGTCAGCCCACTTAATAGTACTTGTAAACGGCCCGCCTGCTTGACCGCGAGTCTTCTCTGTTTCTATAATTCCAAATAACCATTGAAGTTTGGTGATTGTAATTTGGTTTTGTTTAACTCCTTTCTAATCGCAGGCAAACTCGAATTTCAATTGCGCCGGCAAACAAAATGTATATGCATTGATGATTTGAGCACGTATAGAACTATGCATTTCAACTGTGAACACATTATGAATCTCTACTGAAGACGTGACGGCGCTCCATTGGTAGGGAATGCCTGGACATGACCGCTTCTATTAAGCACGTACCCGCATAAGCGTCTTTTGTTGTCTGCGACCAACTTGGAACATTCGAACTCTTTCTAGCTCCAACGCAGAACAGCGCAAAAATGATTTTTTTAATGCCTCAAGCTTTCCCTTGCAGTAAAGTTAAAAATGATTTTTGGACACTTTTGCTTGTGTCTGCGGTGCCCGACACTCTCCAAGACTATGTAGCTCTCTGAGAGGCAAGGGGAGGCAAATTCGTGCACGGTACCTTGCTAGCTATAGTATAAATACTACAAGGATTGTGGGAGGGTCTCGAGAAATTAGAAACCGTACCTTCCGGCTCAGCTTCCATAACCTTTATAAATCATCCACACATTTATCCAACACACTCGTTCCAAGACACCCTCGTTCAAATCAAGTGCGGTCATACAACACCATCAGTCTCATCTTAAAAAGTCTCAGCTAAACGTGCAGCTGGTGCCCATAATCTGATTTCGTTAGTCAATTCTGAATCCTGAGTTACTCCTTCTTTGAGTCGGCACGCTTTAACTTTAGCTTTCGTACTCACATATACCACTCACTTCTCAGAATCCACGACGTCAACCTAACTTTTGTCCGAGACGATCAGCATGCAAAGATTCCATCGAACCGAATTCTCATTCGCTCTTCTCTTCATCAAGCTCATGGTCGTTGGATTCACCCTGGGGACTTCTATCGGTAATATACCCACAAATCCGGCGTGTCCGACGAGTGGATGCGTTGGGCGAGGCGGCGGATCTCCCACTCGACCATGCCTATCGATATATGAATGCCCGCATCCTGGAGGAGACCACCGCAACCCATGGTGATTGTGCTCAAGCCAGACATGTCCATGTTTCTACACTTGACGCTAGATGTTCTCTACAAAACAATAAAACTATTCTGTGAACACGTTTTCTTTTTCTTCTTGTAATGGCATCCCGATTATCCTATTTGGCTGGTGTTGTATTATTCGATTACATACCATAAGCAGGAAGAGGTTAGCATGGCTAGCTTTGTCTCATGTTCTACTAATAATTTTATAATGAAAAACATCGATCAGTTGCATCACTGATTGAAAAAAAGAATGAGTTGAGTGGTCTAGAAGATCAACAAAACTTTCTATCCGAGCTTTTATGAGAATAAAGACCTGAGTAAGGAATCCCTTCTGCGCTCGATAAGATATTCCAAGTATCATGGGTTTGATCCCAGTGATGTGTTTTGATGAGTTCTTAAAATAAGAGGATCGTTGCCTAAAGATCAAATTGAGCTCCATATCAACGAAACTAAACACTGGTCGCCTCCGAGGAGTTCACCCGAAGCATCTCATTGGCGCAACTGGAATAAGCTCTATATATAGCATCAGGTTGCAAGACGGCGTGGATTGCTTAAGTATGTAAGCTTAACTCAAGTGTATGTAAGTTTAACTCAAGATGGCTAATTCCGCCTGAATTGGCAAATGTTTGACTCTCCAAAGAAACCTTTGGCCTCAAGATGTTATGGATCCAATTCAAACCGTTCAATTGCTATCTGTAGATGGATGGGCCAGTTCTGCCTGAGCCTGATGTGACGGCTTCACCCTGTCACAGCAATATTCGTCCATTTTTAGTAAATTGGACCTGGGTTTGGTTTGAATATGCATACCCCCCCCCCCATCTGCGGCGCAGTCAAACTAGACCACCCCTCTTGGAAACTTTTCAACCTCGCCCAAAGCCCAAAGAACGGTCAACAACTAATTTGAAGTTTTAGTAGGATGGCCAAGAAGAAATCGAGTCTCAGCCAAGCACTACAGCAAGCACAACTACAGCAGCAACGAGCCATCAAGCTAGCCTCAAAGAAACTAACCCAACAAGAAAAACAACCAAAACAGTCAGCTTCAAAGTCTCAGAAGAACAAGCATACCATTCCCTCAACACAGTCATCACCTACTAGAGCTCAGAAACATCTAAAGAATCGACCAGAGAAAACGACTACCAAAACCAAAAACCAAACCCCTGCCACTGGTCATCACGAAAGCCAAGACTCGCCCATCGAAATTACATCAACCGATAGGCATTCCAAGCTTGCCCAGCGAGCTGATTTGACAGGTTCTCCGGAAAAGAACAATGAGCGACCAGCGATTACCGATGAACATGAAAAAACCAAAAATCGAAGTGATTTACCTTCAGACCTATCGCAATCGGAATCATTCATAACTCATGAAGGAAGTCACAAACAACTTGAAGCCATCACATCAGGCGCAACACCGATAGATGCCAAAGTTCATTTATCACCTCGCGAGGAAGAACGGCCAAAGAAAATCTGCTCGAAACCGCACCTCGCTATGGTCAACAAAAATGATCAAGTTTTGCTTGTCGGTGAAGGTTTGTCCAGATTTAAATTCTTCTTGCGGGTCTTTTGAAAAAGAACAAAAAAGATACTGACATGCTGTTAAATGACCCAACAGGAAATTTCTCGTTCACAGTGTTACTCTTAGTCGAATATTCGCATCCTGGAAGATTGATTACCGCTTCAACAATAGACAGCAAGGAAAGCGTCTTGAAAAAGTATCCAGATTCAGGGAAAATATTAGAATTACTAGAAGAACACAAAGTGACGATTTTATTCGAATTAGATGGATGTAAATTAAATGAGGATAAGAGGATCAAGAGATCGAAAATCAAGTACGATAAGGTGATCTTCAATTTCCCACATGTGGGTGGATCCGAAGCAGACCAAGACCGGAACATCAGAGCCAATCAGATCCTCATCTTACGCTTCCTGAGATCCGTGTCCACTTTGTTGTTCCAACCTGATGGGTTAAGTTCTGGTCAAGACCAAGATGGCTGGACGCAGAAGAAAAGACGATCGAAGTCTTCAACCAAGACAAACAAGAAACTTAAATCTCTTCAGAAACGACCGTCTCATTCATCCGATGACGATTCGGATGATCCTGATCGGCTCCAGGATTATGATCAGCAATCCGCCACCGAGCTCGATCTTCACCTTCGAAATCCTGGCTCGGTTCTCATCACCGCTGGAACTTGTCCGCCGTATTCGTTTTGGGATGTACCGTAAGTTACTCTATTAATGATGTCAAACATGAATCTGTTTACTGGGATAGGAACTAACATATTGCAACAAAAAAAACCCTCAAAGTGCGCTTGCTAAAAATGGAAAAATTTTGGCGCATACAATCCTTTATCCAAGCCATCCAAATCTCAAACAAAGAGAACAGCCGGTTTATAAACTCATCCGGTCCTTTGATTTCGAGAAATCAATTTCCTTAATGGATGGTTATTCAACTTATCAACATCGTCAAACTAACGGCTTCAAACACTCTAATCTGAAAGATACTCGACCGGCTAACCCCAGGACGTGGGAATTCCAACTTCAAGTCTAGGCTTTCATTTGTTGTTGTATTAAAATTATTCTTTTTCATAGAGGCGTACTTTGAGGATGGGGCATTACCAATTCCCTTAGTTTTTGGTTCCATCAATTCTTAGAAGATCCACGAAGAAGAAATAACTTCCGATATAGTGAGAGAAAATGATAAATCATTGGACTGAAACACGCTGGATGAGAGAGACATAGAAATCCATGTCAAAGGGAAAATGTAAAAAGAGCCAAGCAGAGAGACAGAGAAAGGTGATAGAGAAATGACTGTGGGAAGTACAGAATTATTTTCTAATTCTGTGCTAATTTTGGACAAGCCTATGAATTAGAGGGGAAGATAATAATGTACATCTTGTGCAACTTGGCACCAGACTGAACAATGTAGTGCTGAATTGTACCACAGAAGTTGTCATCCAATGTACTATAAATTAGGCTCCTTTTGGCCGCAAATCATGATTTGTGATTTGGCTAAGGTTTGGTGCAGATTTGGAATGTGCAATATAAAACACTACAAAATTGTTTGCACAAACTCCCGCCAAATCTTGACTCAAAATTACAAATTAAGGACGGCCAAACGTGGCCTTAATAGCTTTCATTTTGTTATTGAAATTGATTTGAATTCAGGTTGATTTTGTTTAAACCTGATTCCCTTTGAAATTTCTTGGGAATTACTTCTGATTCTTTCAGTGAAGTGATTCAAAAATTCATTGCTGGTGTTAAAATTCATTAATCTTTTTCCTCCCCCAGAATCAAACCAACACATCAAAATCTGAATGCCAATATTCATCAGATATTCTTGGTCCTTTGATTGCGATAAGCTTTCGATCAATGTTCTTTGGAATTCTGAATAGGAGTTCAGTACAGGAGGAGTTCTTTGTTGGTTATTGGGCGTAAAAATTGGCTGGAATTTGTTTCCACCATAAAAAAGCTCTTGAAAATAACTGCAAAAGTTCTGGTGTATTTTATGCACATCAACAGGACAAATACTTTTCCCCCAAAATTCAGGTCTTGTGAAATATATGTGGGATGGGAAATTCATAATAGTCATCTTCCGTCGAAGTTCATCTGATATGTTTGATTTGACCTGATAGTTCAAGCCAATTCCAAAATCAAAATGTACTGTTTTGTTCATTTTGTCTCTGTAATTTGTTCTTTTGAAGATGAAGTGGGGAGATTGTCGTCTTCCTGACTTTCTGATTTTCCTATCTAGATTTGTAAAAACTCTGTAGCAGTCTACCATTCTACCAATATTCTTGTATTGGAAATCTTTGAAGATAGGAACTGAATTTCCAAGAATAGAATTGAGAGTATCTATCACATCTTGGGTAAGCGGGAAAAAAACAGACCTCTCAAGAGTCATAGATTGACTATTTTTGTGATCCACTGCTCTATTGTCTTTGTATTTTTCCAGAAGATTTGGGTTTTCTTCAAAACTTGAAAATCTATTAATTCCAGAAGATTCAATTGTTTCACTCTCTTCTTGCTTGATTGTGATTCTAGGATTCTCTTGGTCAGTCAAACAGGAATTGGTCTCAGCTGCAGAAAAATTGGTCATTGGCGCATATGTTGAATGCTTGGAGTTGATTACTTCATGCTTCATTTTTTTCTCATAAGTTCCATCTGTCTTGCTGACTTCAACAGGTTTTAAATTCAAAAATTGTTTTCTCTTTTTATCTGAGTTTTCACCATTTTGGCTTTCCCTCTGGGAGTGTGAGGAACTGAAACCAGATTGAGGCTGCTTGAATTCTCCCTTTTCAGAAAATTTGGATGATGGCACATCTGTGATTTCACTGGGTTCAACTTTCATTTTCAGTATTCTTTCAATTTCACTGTGATCATTTTGGTTGGTATCCTGGGCAACCCATTGCTTCCTTTTTTTCAGAGGTTTGGAGAAAGATTGAAGATTATCCAAAAAGTCATTTGCTGCCCTTGGAAAAGCTGTCTCAGAAAAACTGCATTCATCCTGGGGATGTTCTGTTGTAGCGGTGAGTAGATGCTTCAGTAGAATTTCTGATTGAGGGGTAGATTTCCCATCTTTGGAGATCTGGGATCCGTCATCTTGATTTGTTAATACATATATAATCAGGTCAATTTAATTTCAATCAGCATCCCAATAAATCAAGTTTTTTCAAAAAAAAAAAAATTGGGCCCGACAAACCTCTGGTAATCTGCCCAATTTCTCTTGAGGATGCCAGGGCAGGCTTCTTCCAATGGCTTTGGTGGTCCATTGGAGACATTGGTAAATGCCACAAATCAGTTATCTCAAATGAAGAATCCTTGTCATCGTAAACGTAACGGGGAGGGTCTACATAACAACATAGGAACTTGAATATTGCTTCACACAATGTAAAGCCACAGGTGAGTGTTTGACGCACTTAGAATTTCTTGCAATTCAATTTGTGTTTCGAGATCATCAAGTAGCCTGTAATCTATTATTGGATGGTTTTCATTGATCAGATTGCTTGGGGACCTTTCGTCTATAGTTTTATGTAGAAGGAGGATTGCCAGATACATGAAGCAAAGCAACATTCAAACAGACCTTCAGTTTAAATAGCTTTAAAAGATTGAAATAGCTGTAGGTTCTTACCAAGAACTGTACATGGCACCTCTTCAAGTTCAGATTGATAACCAATTCCTGATTGTCCCCACAAATCATGCGCCATCACCGCCTGCTCTTGCTCATGCATCAAGTTTTGAGGTCTTTCCTCCAAATCAGACAGGCATGGCGGTCTCATCATGCTGGCCGCGACGAGAGGTGCAGCCGAGAACCACCCAAGCGTTAAAAGGAGGGTCACAGTTGGCATTTTGATTGTGGCTGAACTTTGGAGCAAGAAAGTGCGAACCGGTAGGGTTTTTTTTAATGTCGTTCGAAATCAAGCTTATGATTATGAAGAAGACTGTAAGACCTAAACGTACTTGATTCACAGTAAAGTTTGAGAGAAACCCAGATCTTTTTCGACAAAAACGTGGCAGTCGAAGCCTTTACATATGAACTGGTCTGGGCGAGCATCACTCCCTCGTTCAGATCACCCAAGCAGAAGAACGACTTCAGAACCCTCAAGTCAGAGCGATTTCACCGCATGTGACCCTTTTATCGCCTCTTGCACAACATTAATGATCCACGTACTCAAATCTCTTCAGCGAGAGGTGATAACCATACTGTCGTTGACAATACATAGTTCGGGCGATGCCTGTCGGACGATGCAACCCCGTCCAGGTTTGTCGCAGAACGGGCCAGCTTAATCTGTTCAGTGGACTGCAGCGTTTAGTTATCAAACACATGTCTGAAAGAGCCTCCTGCATTTATGCTTGCAAATCAGCAGACAACAGACATCCAAACTTGACTCGTATCTGATGTAACTTACATCAAGTACAAGTCAAGTTTGGAAGTGTAACCTGCCGTTTTGCTCCAGTTAACACCCAGGGCTTGGTTTCCTTGTCTGGGCAGGCCACAAATACTGGAACATGGCCAAGTCTTGTTTGACTCAGGCAAAGGCTGACAAAGCTGTTGGCCAATCAAAGTTCAGGGATTGATATTTCTTTCCTCTTCCTCATTGACTTTATTTACAACAGGTTTCTTTATATAGAAAATTGCCACTCAAGTTCAATTTGTGTATGTTTTTATTTCACTGTGTATCCAAAATTTTGTCATAATCCCCAAAATGTTCTTAAAATGCCTAGAAATTCTACATGGAGGAAATATGTACACATGCCTGATTGTCTTAAAGGCAATCATGATAAGTGCTTACAAATACATGCATTCAACTAGTACAGATTTAAGTCCATCTAGCCTTCCACTTGCCTTTCCGCCCTTATGATTTTCTTCCCCATGCTATATATTTATTGGATTCTGCACTTGACATAATGCTCGACTCTGTGGTGGAAGTTGCCATTGTGCCAACACATCCGGTTGTAGCACAACAACTCCTGCAAAGCCTGCACCAAGATGCCAACCCAGATGGCAATGGAAGAACCAAACACCAGGGTTATAGGCTTGCACTCTCACTGAGAAGTCAACACCACTGCCAGTCAGCCTCACATTGTTTTCTCAACAATGATTTAAGCAAATCTAAGACTTAAGTTACTCACAAACACTGTAGGTGTTTCCTGGGAGCACATGTCTATCCAATCAACCCAAAAAAAATGCGAAACATCAATATGCTTTTTCGAATATTCAATCTGATAACTGAATCTTCAAAATTAGCTTACACGTCTCTACAAACCGGAGTCTCTGTGTTATATTGTATGTTTGCGGCTTTTGAGTGCAAAGCACCTGGGCCTCTTGCAACAAGGCAAGTCTTTTTGTCAAAAAAAGTGTTATGCATCAGATTTCGTATGTCAAATATTCAAGTAGAAGATATTTTTTCTGGGTCCTCAGGGGATTACTCACATCCACTCCATCTGATCCGGCGTTAGTGTGTTATCAAATTTAATTCAGTCAAATAGAAAATGATAAGTCTTCCCATTCAACCCTGATCTGAGTCAATGAGTCCACTAACGAAGATGAAATGGGTGTTCGCGGGCCACATCCAAATTATTTATCACGATGTCCCAAACCCCGGGGGTTGGTAGGGTTTCAGATGCCACTTCTGAAGAATTTAACCAGCCTTGGCCACCTTGCAACTTGTGATGAAGGAGAGGTCTTTGCAATTGTGCTTTGAGCGGCAAAATTAAACACTGTCAACTTTAAAGCTACCAATCGGATGGACTGTCTTACGATCTTCGCTCACCAATATAGGTCGTATTGTCTACAAAGAACCGCCCGAGTACTCTTCGCTCTGAAGCTGTGACTTGATCCGCAACCACAATGGTTCCAAAACTAACATTGAAATAGACCTTTAGGTGAGGTGAGGGGGGGGGGGAGTAAATCACCAGCAAAATGTTGGTTGGTTTGTTCAATTGTTGAAGAATACTTCAATCATGATCTCACTTACACTTCCCACGACATCTGTCATGGGTGGAGGCTTCATCCGGGGTACGAGTGCCGAGCTGTCGACGTCGTAACACGTTCCGATCGAGCTAGGAGGCCAATCAGAATCCCTTGGTAGTGGAAGTGAGGCTCCGGGCAAAGTCTTTTGATTTGTTACTCGAATCACTGCCCTCGCAGTATTTCCTGCTGGGGTATCCAACCCTGGGGCAACTTTTTATAGCAGAGATAAAGAAGCACAAATTTAGCCTTAATACCTTGTGATTTTTGAGGGAGGTTGCACCTGGCTTGCTAGATCACCATCCAAGAACTGGCTGATGCGGGCTGACACGACAAGGGTATAAAATCTATAAAAAAAACTCACTCCAGGCAACTACAATTGTGTCATTAATTAAATAGTGACAGGTAAGGTGGTAGTGAGATTCCTAGTGGCTTCCAATGGGCATAAAACAAATCCAGAGAAAAAAACCTTACGACAATCGGTATCGATAGCGGCTCTCAAGTAGAAGGCATCGCCCTCTCGATCGTTGGCGGTGTCCAGAATAACGCTATATCTGAGTCCAACCAGGCGAAACTCAGAATAAGAACCTCACCGAGAAAATTGCACATAAACGGCCACCAACCTCTCTCCTCCATGAATTTGAACGCGCTCCATTTGAAACCGGTTTTGGACAGGGGTCGCATCGGCTTCAATAATATCCAAGCGATGGTTATCCACCGAAACCCTGAAGAGCGCATGTGAACTTGACTGGACAAGACGAAGTCTCGTCTTGGCATTCGGTCTAACTAGTAACTCCAAAGGCTGGGAACGGGTTTGACATTGCCTCCCAGGTGCGTATCTTTGACAATCGAAAAATCCAACCCCATTCAAAATTGCTGGGATGAGAAATGGAGCAATTATATATTCATACTCAATCAACCTTGCTGTAGTGCCACGGAAAACAAATCATGAAGGTATTACCTGAATTGGGCGATGGAGCTGCAAAACTTTCATTATATCCCCTGGTCGACAGTTGTTCGCCCAAGATGAATGTGCTCGTGCTTTTTGTTTTTCGCGAAACCAAGCGCAGAAGCCGTCCTATCAGTGATGAATTCTTCCGAGATGTTGAATTCAGATGAACTTGTAAGTTGCGAATTTAAGAGCTCACTCGTGGTACCAATCGCTAAAAACATACACGCATTATTCATCAGTTCCAGGTTGTGGAAACAGGGTTTGATATATATATTTTGGAAGTCTTACCTGACAAAGACAACCATTTCTTCGTCGAAATCTTTTCCCCGAACCAAGGGATCACGTGTGCTATGCACTATGAGAGGACCTACAATTCCATCTGCTTTTAGATTGCGTGTGTGGGCCTTTGAGTGATGGAATTTTGGAATCTTGGGTTAATATACGCAGACGCTCTGTCACAAATTAAGGATAACTCGATTAAGCGTCTTACGTGATACCCTATGGCGGAAGGTGGTGAGGGAAATTCAATCAATTTGTGTCACTTGATATTAAAATTCATTGAAACCTCCAACTAACAAAATGTGCCAAATTGACCCTGGATCTTGAATGAATAGAGGAAAGAAACTCCAGGTTGAATAGGACATTCTGTCACTCCTAAAATAGAATAAATGGCTGCATTAGGTACTTCTGATAGAGCAAATAGTTGAAGATTTCATAGACAAGCCTTACCAGAAACACCATCCATCTTTGAGTGGTAGATAGATCACCAGATAATTAGCTCATTCTCACTTCTTTTCTTCCTTTTGAATCAAGCCAAAGAGACAACAAACCCAAGGAGTACCCTTTTGATGTATACCTGCCCAAATAAACTATGTCAGTTTTTCTATCCTTGTCTGGATTTTTCTCGAAGTGAACCAGGTCAGTTGGGTCGAGCTCATATATGCTTACCATGCCAATGTATAGAGATTGGATAGTTCATACGGTTCACCAATAAAACGTTTATCGTATCCCCCTGATAAAATTTTGATAAAATTTTTGTTACTTTTCAATCTTGAAAATAAACAAATGCTTTGGCAAAGGAAAAATACCAACTTCGTTTGCCTAGGGAAACCACATGGGACGAAGCATAATGATTTCAAGTGGATAAGCGAACGAAAGAAACCTTCAACCCCTAATAAGACAAAGTGACAAGACTTACCTCGATTAGAGGACCAGGATACTGGCCATTAATCACCAACATGCTCCTGATGGGAAAAAAAATGAAAATTTTCAATGACTGCATCAATGGGTGAATAAGTGGTGATAAGATGAGTATTCACCTCAAAAATCCATCTGGAGCACCAGTTTGGTTCCTGCGACAATTAGAAGAAATTTCAAAATTGAGGAGGTTAGAAACTATTTCACATCGGCCAACAAAATCACAACATGATTTTTCCTTACGTTACGACAAATGTGTAATTCAGGGTGCGTGGTTTGTCTGTGATAACATGGTTTGGGCTGAGCATTAAATCTGGCGAGTTAAATCTAATCTGGGTTTTGCTGGAATACACATCCTCGCCTCCAAATTGGTGCTGGGACCCATGTTCGATGATCTCTGAGCTTGAGTTGGTACTTGAAATGGATGTTTCAGATTCAGAGCTGTACCGGTTTATGCGAGAAGCAGTATTGGATGATATATTAAGCAAAAGTAAAAGAATGTGAAAGATCAGAATTTTAATCATCATGAATCTCAAATTCTAACGAAGGATAGTAGTATTGACAAGAAAATAACAGTTCAAAATTTGATTGGTAGTATGTTTGTGATATCAAACAATGGAAGCAATGGGATGCTCAAATACTTAAACACCCCAGCCTAGTGACGAGCGGAGTGTCCAGAGGTCACCGATTCACTTGCCAGATGCCTCTGATTCAGACTTGATAGCGATGAAGCGCGCTGTTGATAAGGCATTTTACCCCGAGCAGATTGAGAAACGCTGACATTGTTGCCGTCGATCACCTTGGCAATCTACGTTTACTCTCCTCAGACCAAAACCTTTTTCTTCTCTCCAATGTGCCTCGATGAAGCTTCGTGATTCGAAAGCCCGGCACTAAGTAAAACATAAGGAAATGAAACTTTGAGCGAGCTAATATGGCGGCGATCAATAATTCACTATCAACTAAACATAGAGGCACTGCAAACTTTGGATTGCCATTCTTCGGTCAAACTCTTTCCCAATCAGCAACCGATTTAACATATGAATTCGCTCGGTCACAACGATGATGATGCTCCGAACAGTCTGGGTGGCTCTAGAGCTTTTCAGCTTACAAAAGGCAAAACGTGCAAGGATTTATTTTAAAGCATATTTCTGGAACCATGGAGTGACAACTAGCCAGACTGAGAAATAATGAGTACTGGTTCAACTGACAAATAATGATGGTTCTCGTTGTTCTAAAATTTTTCACGTCACCACAATCAGCTTTGCCAACTAGCAACAGTAACATTCTTATGAGACAATCTGGGTTGATATAATGGCATCATTCGTGTTTTCCAAGTTTTGTCTCACCGAAGACATGCGTCCGCAAGAAGTGTTTTCACCAAGTGTTCACGACAGCCATCCCACCCGAGGCCATGATTGACCTGATCCTGGATGATGAAACAACGAGCTATTTTTACTTCACACGGGTCGGTGATACAATCATGACCAGGGTGAAGATGGGGGAAAGGTAGCCAGGCGACAAGGCACTCACAAATGTATAAAGGTGAGCTAAGACGATCTTCTGTCCCAACACAAACCACTCCTTCTCCAATTTAAAAACTTCCAGCGCATCCTACCACACATCTTTTGAGATATCCAAATTTTTGCGAGTGATAATACATAGAGTCTTGCGGTTCATTATTTTGAAGTCATAGTTTTGATAATCATGAAGCTCATTATTTTGGCCGTTTTTATTGCCACGGTAGCTTGCCTAGTGGCAGGAGATCCCCTACCACTCACTAAAAGAGATGGTTTCCCCAATAGTGCCATGAAACCAATGCAATGTCCATCAGGAAACACTGAGGTTTCATGTCTAGTGACTGATTCGTCTTGGCCAACAAATGATTTTCCATGCGGAGTGAGTCTATTTGACTGAATTACCTTTCTATATGTGTGCTACAGAGTGACATTAATAATTTTTTCTGCTTTTTTCGAAACTCAGCAAGACACAATTCGTAACAATGTTATCAAAGCGATAACAAATGGAATCCTCAAGAAAACTGCAGCTGACGATGTTGAGGGTAGCCCTCCATTTGAGCTAGGCCCAGCTTGTCAAGGTGGACCTCTGTACAAATTTCAGCATAGTTCGTCAAAATTCACTTAGAATGACTGGTCTCTTCGATATAAGATTAGCCTGTGCCTTATGCTGACTAAGAATCATCACTCCCTTTTACTTCATCTCTCTAGACACTGTAACTGCTTTTTACGTTGTGAAAACTGAATGCGATTGTAAAGCGGGTGTTGTGCCCAGCTGCAGCAATGTAGTGGAGAAAAGTCAGGATGCTTGCAACATTTCAAAGTTAGTGAAAATTCTTCCCTGGCTATGCCTATAAACATTTCGACCAATCAACTCATAATTTGATCTCCCTTGAAACCAATTCAAACTGCCGCTATATCATACAGGATCGTTTATTGTGGCGCTTCAAGTGGCCAAAGTCATTGCGCTGCAAAATGAGCATAAATATTATGGCTCACCGTTCTTGCTGTTTTCCCTGAATAAATAGATTTCTAGCTATTTGTAGCCATTTGACACCGTTCTTGCTGTTTTCCCCGAATGAGTAGATTTCTAGCTATCTTTAGCCATTTGACAACCCCTCAAACTTGTCCATATCCACCGTATTGGCCTTCCAACATTCATTTTCTGAATGCCAATTTTTTCATGTTAAAATAGATGGTCTGGGTATCAAACTTCGTACTATGATAGAATAAGTGGGACTAAATTTCTTCTGTGGTCTTTCGTTGAATATCAATATCAAAACAAAATCAAGTTTGTTTCTGCATCGACTGAACAAACATTGTTCCAAGTTGCTTTTTCAATCAACCTGGAGGGTGATAATGTAAGACTGCAACATGTGGTGAGAGTGTGACTATAAACTTTGATAACCTTGATAGCTTCAGGGTGTAACTCAGACAGAATGTTTCCTCCAATAACAGGGCACAAAAAAATTGTTGAACCTAAATATATGCATGCAAATTCAAATTTCTTTTTATTTAGTTTTTTTGTTGAATTGAGAAGACTTCGCTGGAAGCTACATTATGTGTTCTTTTTCACTACAAAAACAGCCACCAATCAGCTTTAGCTCCATCTCAATCACTACGCAACGTACTTAGAACGACAATATCTGGATGAATTTTAATATTTTTTTTTTTACTTTAGGGTTCTTTTCTTTCTTTGTATAATGAAATGAAGATTCAATAGTGCATCAACGGATTTTCAAGTCCAGCAAATCCTGGCATTTTCCTGATTGCTCAAGATTGCTTCATTTTCCATCTCAGTGCGTCCCTGCGCCCTTTTTCGAGATCTACAAGTAGAAATATTATGCCACTCGATAACAAGCAGATCGCGAACAGAAACGGAAAACCTATGGAAAACGCAAGTTCCGAAGTCAAGCTGAGCAAGTCTCTCTCTGCTTCGAATATTTACATCATAGTTGTAAATTCTCTTACCTGTCCAATCTGATCCGGTGTGGTCGATGATAACCTGGATCACATTCGGGCCAATGATAGATGAGGCTCGGTTCGAAAAACCGAATAAAGCAAAAAACTGATCGCAGTTCCAATATTAGTCTATCAGCTTTTGCCTGATTACACAATTAATGGAAATCACGAAGCCGTTTTTTGTTTGGATTTTAAAGGGAAAAAAGAACTGAAAAACTGACCATATTTTCTTGACCCGGGGGAGATAATTCGGCCATAATGGTTCTGATCAACCGTTATTTTGATCAATTTCGATTGCATCATTAGGTTTGAATAGTCAAGCGGTTCAACTCAACTGGGAATAAGAGTAGTATGGCGCTTGGAACAAGCCAAAAATAACATTGTATGCCCAAAACTCCCATCTACGTAAAATTTTGATCACCAAATAATTGAAGGCATGGATGTCAGTGTAGATTTGAAAATCCGTACTATGTGCTTCCTCCCCTTGGTAATTGGAATCTGGTGGAAAATATTACCTATTACGAAATCCAAACTTATGGGTCCAAATTCCGATCGTGCCCCATAAAGGTATCAAAACTGTTACAAGGTTAGTCACCACAAACTGGGATTTATAAAGAGCAACCAAAATATTGTGTGAGGAGGAGTCAATTTTCTATGGCGATGCTTCAGATAGATAAGGATTGAAGTGCAATACCATATTTTTTGTCTTAAGCTTCCAATTCTTTTGAATGTACCAAAATGCGAGAGTGGAAATAATCGATGTCACTGCTTGTGAGATTCCCAAGTACTAAGCGCAAATGATTTCAATCAAAACAACCCGGTTATGTCATTCTGCCAAGTTTTTCCAGGAAAAAGACTTACAGTGTTTTCAAGAAAGCTAAAATTGACCGTATTTGATTGAATGATTGAAATCAAGGTGCCTGTGGTATTCAAGCTATTTAATGCCCCAATCCAAACGAAGTTCAGAACAGGCAAAAGTTAGTCCCAGTAGATTCAGATCAAGAAGCTCACCCATCCGCAAGCAAGAAGAAAGCGACCAAGTAAGTAAATGTGTAAGGCAGCTGTGTTGCATTTTTGAAAGCGACGTAGAGTTGATGCCATCCTATCGTAAAAGGATTTTGTCCCCGAGGTAAGGGGGGGCCAGGGCGAGGGTTTTGGAATACAAACCACCAAACCCCAAGTAGAACCCAATATGCGTTTGTCTACGGAGGAGGCTTAATCTAAATCAAGTGTGATATAGTAACCAAGAAGCAGAAAAATGCTGACCAAAACTATTGTGTAATTGTTCACCCGGGGATTGTTTGCCAATGGTAATAGTACGCTGAGGTTTATGATCGAGACAAATAAATAGCCAATATTACTATGCACTGTGCTGATGTTAGAGATCCTGCTTCGTTCCAAACTTTGTTCGAGTTCACATGCCGCTTCGGTTATCTTGTTGTTCTGCAGATCTTCAGTCAAGTGTCGTGATTTGAGGGTATTCAAGGCGATGATAGGAAATTGCGCGGCATAAAACACCAGGGTTGCGCCATCTGAACATGATCAACAACAATTTATCTGTTATCAGGAGGCCAATCCACATACTTCAAAAAAAAGAAGAAACCTGAAAGAAGTCGGTACGCACATGTCACAAATCCCAAGATATATAGGACCATGCCTACTTTCCATCTACTGGGGTCGGTGAGAGCCATTACGCTGAACTGGGAAGCCCAGCACAACACGGTCATAATGAAGAGAATCCAACGTCCATAATTGCGGTAATCAGCCAGAGCACCTAAGCTGGTAAACATGATAGTCATAATCTGGAAACAGCGACCCGCAGAGAAAGATGAGATTAGTTTCTATCGAATGACCGCATACTCGATGGATTGCTTACTCCGAATGAAATGCCATTGGCGATCAGCACTACGCTGCTAACGCTTTTTGTCTGCCCATTTCCACCGAAGGCAATGATACACCTGTCAGCCGTGCAGGTTGACCCAGGCCCCAGATCAGGGTCATACCCGGCCGCAGTAGCAAGAGCCTGAAACAGTGTCATACTGTATGACATGGGCCCAACTCCGTCTGAATACCGACGAACCCAAAGCTTGTTCAGTTTCAATCGCGACCATACCACGAGGATTTTCAATCACTCACTATTTCCATTGTAGTCTTCGTTTGCCAATGTCAACCAGGGGAAAATTAAAATATTGCTCCGTAGATTAGTTCCTGCCAGAAGGTTTGAAGCTGCCTTTTGAGCATTCCGATCAATCAGGTCTTACATAGATAATAAGCCCACAGCTCGAGCCGAGTGACAGTCGGGACCGTCTCCGCGGGAGGTGGGGTTTGCGAAATGATGGGCAAAATCTTGTCCTGTCCGGTGAGGCTTATGCTGTCATGCTGGTGGATCTGATCGAGCACTTCAAAGGACAGAAAAATTCGAGTAAATCGAGGATAATTTCATGATGATGGTCGGATAACTAGGCAGGATTGGAACACCGAACTTACACAAAGCCATTCCGATGGTTACGTTGACGTCTCGGCTTCACTTCTTGGCCTCAGAGACTTTGGTATAACCGTTAAGGGAAAGGAGATCTGAAGACGTTCTGAACTAGCAAGATATGGGGTTAACGGATTCGTTATCCACAAGCTATTGATCACAGGAAACTTGTATGCAAAAGAATGCTTCACCTTTTGCGAGCATGTAACTTCAGATGGAGCGTGAGACTGAAGTTTACATGATGCAATTCAACAACTTCCCGTTAGATTCTTCTGATGATATCCACCCATTTTAAACCAAAGGAAGGTTGGTTGGGGTTGCACGGGATTTGAGCCCCGCTAGCGAGAAGATCTTCCCATTTATCTCCATTTGCACAACTCCTGGCCGACGTGCAAATAAATCGGCACTCGACAAAGCTTCCGGGTTCTGAATCTCCCCTGTTTTGCTCGCCTCCATTGCCATGATTGCTTCACTGTGCGATCAAAGTGCAAGATTAGGAATGGGTAGTTCGTCACAGGGTAATCTGGTGTTCATATGATCACATGATGCATCCCAGGGGAGGCAATGTAAGCATTGTAATCCTCGGATTGTACCGAATGCCCAATTCATTAACTAAGTCCAGTGTCCACATACATAACGGTCGAAAGTCGCAGAGGACAGGGGGTTTCTATCCACGACTGTTTGGGACAATTGAGAAAGAATACCACATGATACGATTGGGTAACTGCAAGTCAGGTATAAACATTATATCACGGCCCGATTCCAGCGGAAGACGATGGATTTCATGAAACGCAGGCATTTCGGGAATGGAAGGCCCGGCTTGGCGAAGCACCTGATGACCGCCAAATGTACCATGGTAAAAAGGTAAGCAGGTCAACCCTGGTCAACCTGAGTCCAGGAAGCCTGTTATCGCTGCCAAGTTCAGATGAAGGGATAACACATACATGTGTGTCTTCAATTCTGCGGGTCGGCGGTCGGCGCTACTTTTATAAATGAGTCGAGTCCAAGACTTTAAAAGTGTGACCCCGGTGCTCGGGCGGGGGGTCAATGCCATACCGACCCTCGTATCCGAGCTCACTCGGGTGAACCCTGATCTACCCGGTTGTTTAAACCTCCTTGGAGGAACTTGTGTTTAGTTCAAGGAGGAAGCAAAATTCTAGAACCTGGTGATCAGGTATCACCGGATTGTAGGATCAAATCCTTAATTTCTGTCCAACTGAGCACACTCAGCCAAATGATGAATATGTGCCAAACTTAGCCAAGAAAAAAGAACTCTTATCTTTTGGCTGAGCATGAGTGAGTCTGTATGCTATTTGAGCTCAGTTTTTACTATTGTGGCATTTTGTCAATAGCAGTGAAAACTTCACCAACCCCCAAACAATAAAATACCTCGGTTGGAAATTAAACTGTTTGGAGTGAACACACTATGTTTTCCAGATCATGGTTAGAGTAGAAGACTGCACCAACAATATTGGTCGAATAAAACTATATACTCAGCGCAGGACTGGAATTCCAAGTGAGTGATAGCTCTTGTGATTTCTTTTCATGGTTGGATCATGTTTTTATCAACCTCTTTTGGGCCACATCTTAGGATTCAACATGTGATAAATGAATGGATCCAAGGTTGGAATTTCCAGGTCAATGTGTAATCTCAAAGAGGCGCAGGAGCTCCGCTTACCAGCAGATTGTCAACCATATAAATGGGTATTTGTAGTCCTCTTCAGCATTGCTCATTCTCCCATCGGGTAAACCACACCACAGTCAATAATTCCATGGTCACCTCATCAAAACAAACTCCAGCTCTGCGAGTTCGATTCGCAACAGCTACCCACATACCACTCAGCACTGTTAAGAGCACGTGTTTGAACGTGATTGCAGTAACTTCCCTGGTCCTTCTGTATGCCATTCCATCGGGGGCCGTCGAACTTCCATGGGAGCACAAATGCGCCTCGCCAAAACTTGAACTTTCCACAGGACCTCTTCATGAAGAATTCTGCTACTCCTCACCTTTGTGCCACGCGTCTATCCCAGCCAAGTTCATGTATCCTGCTTGCAAATCATGCGAGGCACGTGGCCCACCCATACGGGTCAATTTCTGTCGCGAGGGACATGGCCGATTACGCTACAGGCGCCTGCGTTCGTGGCATAGCCGCAGCTGCGCGTCTCAGAGCATTGTCGTTCGGATCATCAAGCCCTTGCAATGCCAACGCTGCTTGGCCTTTGTAAATCACCACATTGCCAGTTGCCGAAGTTGCGACACGGATCATCCAACACTGCGAGTCCCACTAGAACGCTGTTCATGTGCTGATGGCCCCTCATGTCCAAAATGACTAGCCCCTGTAGCTCGAAACAGCCACCAACAATGCCTCTTGTCAAGGCCAAAATACCAACAAAAAAGCAGGCACCAAGGCACAATGACAAAAGACAAAAAAATACAGAAAAAAAGGAGGGAAAAAAAAAAGTTAATGAAAAACAAAAAAAAAGTAGAGGAAATTGATGAAAAAACAAAAGAAAAAAAAACCAGTAACTTGGACTTGAAAAAATGAAAATATTAATAGCGTTTGTACCATCACCTCTCCCACCCATAGCTTAAAGGCCAGAGAAGGGTCTTTTCATTTTTCAAAATTGAACCACATTGAAATCTTCACCAATGACAGGTTTCACAAATTTATTACATAACACACTTGACATTTAACAAGACCACTTAGTACCCCTTCTCCCCTCT